GAAATGATTACTGTTCTATAAATATTTCCTTACCAAATGTAACTATCATATTATTATAATATAAATTTCCTGCATGTCCGTAAATATACGGTGGAGGATTGACTTTAGAACTATCTGGGATAGACCATTAATATGGATTTTTGTTTGTATCTAATACAGCAAGGTTTGGGTTAACACCGGTAAACTTGTATGTACAACCCCCAAATATAATAATGCGTCCATCTGGTGCTATATGAAAATGTTTATTTTAATATAATTTTTTATGTTTCAGAAATAATAAATAATAGATAACTTAAATATTTACTTAATACGGAAGCAAAAATCCATCTTGGGTCAACCTCATCACCAATGGCATCCTTAGAATTAAATATTTGATAAGTTATTTTTTACATCTTTTTATAATATTAGATAATTGCTTTACATTACGAATGTTTTTGTTTAATGACTTGATAGAAAAAAAATGATAATTTTTCTGTGATATTATATTTATTTTATATAAATTAATATACCATATATGACCATTCATCTTTATTTGTATCAAAAAGTTTTATCTATTTGACACAATAACAATATATTAATTAATATTTATGAATATAATTTGAAATAATTCAATCAGTTTATATTAAATTACTTACACTATTCATTTTTGTAAGAGTGTCATTTTTTTCTTGTCCGCCAACATAAACAATAATTCCATTTGGTAAAAGACTAGCTGAATAGTCACTGCTCACTGGAGGAAGATTATTAATTATGCTTAAATTTTTCCAAGTCATTGAATGAGTATTCAATGTATTTATTTCATTGTAAGTTATTCCAACTTCTTCTGTAGCATTAGTGGTATTATAACCACCAAATATGTATATAATTCCTTTATTATTAATTACTCCTGTCATTTGCTGCCTGATAGGAACATTATCGCCAGTAATTGATGGTGTAGTCCATTTAGAAGTAGAATAATCATATGCATAAACTTGTTTCGAATAATCTAATTCGCTTGTAGTTTTATTTTTTATATATCCTCCAATTAGAAATATTGTAGAATTATCTAAACTAACGACAGTAGTTGAACCGTACGTATATATAGGAAGATCTCCGTCGTGAATTAAATTCCATAATATGTTTGAAGTATCAAATGGCTTTGATAAATCCAAATAGAATAGTTCAGCAGATTGAGTAGAATTTTTAATTCCAGCTATTATTAAGAGTCGATCATTTATTACTACACTATTATGGATTATTCTTTGAGGTGGATCATAGCATAAAATTGGATTAATTAAAAAAATAATGTAAAAAATAAATTTAAATAAATAATATAAGAAATACATCTTTAATCCATAAAATATTAGGATTCATGAATTATAAAAAAAAAGTTTTTTGTTTTCCTTGCCGTGCCGTTTGTTTATTGTAACATAAATTTGTATGCATGCGTGCGTTATGCTATAAAAATCATCAGTTTGTACTCCAATTTTTCCTCGCACAAACATTTTCCCTTTTTCACCAAAAAATCACCTTAAATTAATCGTGTTACCTTGCATTTTTATTTTAAATACATATTATCTCGAATTTTATATATCTATTAAATAAAGATATTATTCATGAACGTTAAACTTTATTTAAGGCTCAAAATTTTTTTTTAAAAAATCTTGTATAATATTCTCATAATTTCTCATATATGAAATATTATGAGATGCTATCATATTATGATATTACACTATAATTACAGTATATGATAATTGATATTTTTTTTAAAAAAAATAGTATCCACGAATTATATGAGCTTTCTATTTTCTTGCAACAGATTATTCTCTCCATAATATATGATAGGTTTTTATTCAGCTATTATTTTTACTATTAATATCATCTCCTAGCGAAGGTTGGAAACAATAGCATCCAATACATTGACATTATCAAAACCGTTACAAAATAATAGCTGAATGATTGAATTTTCAAAAACAATTATCTGAAAAAATCTTTTTTTTTTTTATTTTCAATAAAAATAAATAAAAAAATCATATAAACTGATACACTGATACAATCATTCATTACATAATTATACGGAAATTATGATTTAAAAGTGCTTGATTATTTCAACGATTTATAAGTGAATTTTTAGTTCTAATTTCAATCTCTAATATTTCTACTTCAAGAATATTGTTCTTTTTTATGAAAAATAAAAATTGCAATACAGACCTTATAAATGCATATTGTATTTCGCTACTGTTTATTTTATTGACGTATGAACTTTATCTGAATGCATATTTAGTGTACATTATTTGTACAATATTATCAATTTATTAATTACATCAATCTTTTTTGTTATATAATTTATCAAATTTTGACTGGCGTTTTATTATCTTGAATTTTTAGTTTGTCATTATATATTCTATAATTTAGAAATACTAAATATTTGCATAGGCAAACCTAATAATTTGACCACTGGAAGCTGGGCCATTTGGCTTAGTTATCACGAAAACTGACTTATTTAGATTAGTATAATAATAGGATAGCTGACCAACATTGGCCGATTTATTGAGTTTCCCTTTGTATATGCATTTAATGAAATTAATTGAAATAACCGAACTTATTTTTATTTTATATCTTGTTGCATTTTCTTTTAATAGTAATTGTGTAATGTTAAGAGTAGTCACTATTTGAACCCGTTGTGACATAATTTATTGAAGCATATTGTTAAAATTTTTTAAAATGTACTTAAATTTCTACTACATATTTCAAAAGTAGAAAAATCATCTTAATTTGTAAGTCAAAAAAATTTTTTGACCGATTTGCATTGTGTTTGTTAAAATTACCATTGTCTCGTGATTAAATATCGAACAAGCACAAAAATAGATACATTCGTACAATACAGTTCAGCTGATCGTACTATCTTTTCTAAAATTTTGATAAATCACATGATAAATTTCATAAAAATTAGATGGAAAGTATTTTTATTTGTCGTACAAACAATCACACAAATACATTTTGTTACCGCCCTTTCTTTATTTCCGGCTCAATAAATTTATTAAAAAAAAAGAAAAAAAAATGTCTTTAAAATTTTTTGACAAGTTATCACAAAACTTTGTTGAACTATTGAATGATAAAGATGATTACAATGTAATCATTGGAATTGAAAACGAGGAAAAATTATTTACGGCGCATTCAAACATATTAAAATATCGATCATCATATTTCCGTAAAAAGTTAGAAAATATTCTACCTAATGAAAATAATGTTAAGACTATTATTATTAAGTCAAGTGTATCTGCTCAAATTTTCGATGTTATTCTCAAGTAAGTTATAAATTAACAATGATAAAATACTATCTTTTATATTTTTATTATAATCAATTTATATTTTATTAATTATTATTTATTTTTTTTCATAGATACATTTATGGAGGAATTGTTGATTTGGAGAACGTAAAAACCAGATTCATTTTTGATTTAATGTTAGTTACTAATGAATTCGAACTTAATGAATTAACCGAAAAATTAGAAACTCATCTAATTGAAACTAAAGCTTCTTGGTTAAAAACCTACTTTGCTTTTGTTTATCGTATTATTTTTAACGAAAATAACTTTAAAAATTTAGAAAATTATTGTAATGATATTATTGCAAAACATCCAAATATTATTTTTGATAGTTCAGATTTTGATTCTCTTCCTGAATCCGCATTAGTATCTCTTCTCAAGCGGGATGATTTGCAAATGGAAGAAATTAAAATTTGGGATTATGTTATCAAATGGGGAATCTCTCAAAATTTTACTTTCCCTACAATCCTTGAAGAATGGACCAAGGAAGATTTTCTTACTTTAAAAACTATTTTACAACAATGCTTACCACTTATTCGTTACTTTCATATATCAAATACTGAACTTTTTGATAAAATTAAGCCTTACAAAAAACTTATTGATGAACAACTTTGGTTAGATATCAACCAGCATCTGGTATTTCCCGACCGGTCAGTTAAATCAATTATTTTACCAGCAAGATCCTTCGTGGTTACAGAATTACCTCCTCGTATAGAAACACCAAAAGAACATTTTTCAACAATCATTTCTGAAGAACATGCAGCAGAAATTTCTAGTTGGATTGATCGCAAAACAACTACTTATTCTACTACAATTATTCCATATAATTTTGAATTAATTTTAAGTGGAACTAGAGATGGTTTTGCTCCACAAACATTTTGGAATATTTGCCATGATCATGCTAAAACGGTTGTGGTAGCAAAAGTTAAAGGGACTGATGAAATACTTGGAGGTTATAATCCTTTAGCTTGGGATAATATTTCATGGGGTGAA